CTCAAAAATTAATTAAAACTTTTTTCATATATGGGTTTTATATGGGTGATATGAGGTCTTGATTATTTTTTCATTCTTTTCAAATTGTCGTAAGAATCTTGAGTTATTCGCGTGTGATTTTGTTGGTTAATATTAATTTTAATTAATTGATATTAATAATTCGTTGATAATAAATTATTAATTAATTAATAAGTAAATAATTAGTTAAAGTGAAAGTGAGTAAAACAAGCTTTAAATACTCAAATAGAGTCTATTACTCAAATATAAGTAATTACTCAAATATAAGTAATAGACTCTATAAGTCTATTAGATAAAAAGAGATGGAGAGCGGAAGAATGTTGCCAGAAGATTTTGTCTCATACAAATTGAAATAATAAGACAAGAAGAACTGGTACGAATGAAAAAATCAAAGCGTATTAAAAAAATTTTATAATGAAATCATATCAGAAAAATATTAGTAAAATTATTGATCTCTGCATTGCTTTGAAAAGAAAAAACAAGAACTCTTATGCCTATGACTATTCTCTTATGACTATTCTTCTAGAACACATCGAAGAGAATAGATACCAAAGGATAAGTATGGAATGAGCAGCATTCTTTTTTGTCCTTAATAAAGTAAGTGTATATCATTAAATATTGTTTACTTTGTTAAAACATAAACATTCACGTGCGTTTTAAATTTGATTTTGCAGTAAAAAACTGTTTTATTTTTTATATTCTTTATGTTTTTTTTATATGTAATATATCGTTTCATCGTTTTGTATACAATTTTTAATGTAATTTAATTAATATTTGGCTTAATAACTAATTAGGCTAATGACAATTTTATAATATGTAAAAAATTAACTTAATTATATTTCATAATATAAAAGACTATACACAGCATTTAAATAAATACAATAATTTAAAAGTAACTTAAATTTATATGGAATATCTCAATAATTGAGATTTAAAGTGCTGAACAATTTTGTAGAGTGCTTAAAAATGATTTTTATTTTTTCTACTTTATTTTAAATAGGATCACTTTCAACTGGAACATGCATGCATCTATGCATCTATGCATGCATGCATGTGTAATCAATTCTCATATAGATAATCCATATAAAAATATTTCTCATATAAACAAATAATAAATAATACATCTTAAAGTAAATACATATGTATATAAAACTACAACTAAATAATTTATTTGTTAGTCTAACCTACAATATCTAGACTTTGAGCATCTGTAACAGCTGCTGCAAGTGGTGTGTGTTGGTTATTATGATTGTTAGTTGTATTACCAATACCATTATCATGTCCATGAATATGTCCATGCCCATGTACATGTCCATGTCCATGTCCATGACCATTACCATTGTTAGTATGTGTTAGATGATTAGTTGGCGTTAACAAAGGGGTTAATCCATCACCGGCACCCAATGGCATTGTAGGTGTTGTGGGCGTTGTTGGGATTTTGTGCAGCGCATCAATTGGATTTTGATCGACAATATGTAAACCGTACAATGTTGCATGTGTTGGTGATAGTGGTGCAGTAGTTCCATCGTCGTTGTTCCCATTGTCAATATCATTGTCATCATCGATATCATCATCGTCCATATAGCGTTGTACATATTGTTGTTGTAGTTGATTTTGTTGATTTATTAAATTTAAAATTTGTTGTTGATTGGGAATTATTGTTGCACAGAGTTCATCGTCATCATTGGGATGTGTTGTTGTTGTCGTTATTGTTGATGTGGTATTAGAAGTTGGCGTCGTTGATTCATTCGTTGAGGCAGCGTTAGTAGTTAAGTTAGTAAAATTAACATTAGAATTTAAATTATTTGTGGCTGTTACGGATAAAGTGGGAGTGGTTGTGGTTATTGTTGGTGTTTGTAATTGGGATATTGTTGAATTTGTAGTTGATGTAGTTGTGGTGAGTAATGTTGTTGGTGTTATTGTAGAGTTATTTAAATTAATACTATTATTCTGACTATTATTACTAAATCGTTTAAAATTATTACTCTGACTAATACTACTACTAAGATTACTAATACAGTTATTTTGTGTGACATTACCATTACTACAGATTTTACTGTATAAATCCGGTGTTGCTGTTGTTACATCCTCGAATTCAGTGCGTAATGCAGTGCGTTTGAGTAGTTGCAAATTACGCGGCAAATGCGAGAGTATATTATATATAAGCCGCAAGTCTTCGCTGGATGTCCAAACTCCAGGTCGTTTGTTATGATACAATTTGGCGTACTGATATATGTTAGCCGTGTTGCAATATTCCATTTCGATGGACAGCGATGAAATGGCACAGAAGGTACATGCTTGTGCACCACCATATCTAGAAAAAATAGATATAAAATTAAATTATTATAATAAGACAACTATAAGTGTAAAGCAACTAACCGATCAACAACGACAATTGGTCCATTACGGTAATCGTTACACCGCTCATGTACATCAACAATGAAATCATAAATGCTATTTGGATTTGACATTTCCGGCCAGCTGGGGCAATGTAGCATTTTAACGTTAAGCTCATAATCGTCTTGTATCGATTGTATGACAAAGTCTCGACTCACGTAATCTCTTTTGTTTGCTTTATTTAAAAATTTAACACGGTAATAATCGCTTTCAATTGGAGTTGCCTCATCTGGCCAGAATTGTGCAAAGTTCTGAAAAATGATATAAAAATAAATTTTATTACTAATAGCATTTATTTTTATTAGTTTGAGTTACTTACGATATCATCCAAAGAAGATAGTAGCACAATAGTTTGTGCATTATGATCCCAGACCATTTGCCAGAAATCCTTCACTGTATGCGACATAGGATGTTGTGTAACAATGAAATCGCGTAGTCGTCGGAATCCATGCAACCAGGATGCATTAATATAATCACTACCATCCTCACCCGGTTTAGGTGTCAAATGTACACGACTAAATTCAATTGGAAATATAGCGCCACGATTTTTGATCGAATTTACTTGTTTCATTGCTGAAGCAATATGTATATCCTTTGTTTGGAATTGTATTATATTCTTGTATTGTTGTTCCAAGTAAGGAGTACAGTTCTTTAGTTCTTCAATTTGTTCGGCACTCAGATTGGTTTCACCCGAGGCAATAGCTTCGACTAGAGCATCATGCAAGAAAATATATTGTTCCTCAGTCTGTACTAAGAAATTACGTTGTATGCGTATGTGGCGCAGAAAACCGAAAACGTTGACCACTCCCTTCTGTTGTATCTGCTTCAGCATAGCATCGAGCACTATATAGGTACCAGTGCGACCGACACCAGCGCTATTTGAAGAAAAAAATTGAAGTAATTAAGTAATTGAAAATAATCACCAAAACAAAAATGAAGAGTCTATGAAGAGTCTATTCTTACAGCCTTGCAAGAATTATACTCTTATTTCTTCGAAGTGAAAAGGTGTTAAAAAGGATATTATGTGTTTAAAATTATGTTTATTGTGCAGTCCGCATACCTGCAATGTACAACGATTGGACCGGCATCTGGTGGGTTTGCCGCTGACGACTTCTTAACGAAATTTAAAACAGGCAAAGGATGATCTGGAGTACCGTGGTCAGGCCAGTTTGTGTAGTGATATTGATAAACAATTTTTTCGGTATTGGACTGCTTCTTCTTCTTTAACTAAAATTGTAATAAATAACTGAATACACATTAATTTAATTAATTGTACAATGCTTATACCTTCAAATGCTTAATTTGTAATGTCCGTACGGTATAAGTAGACATAACTTCCTCCTCTACTAACTTCACCTGTATAACACCATAAGTTTCTACACCATCTCTTGGCCAATACATATCGCATTTGCGTCTTCCACGTTCTACTAGATTTGTGATCATAACAATTATAGCAACGCGTTGCTCCCAAATCATGCGCCAGAAGCAGTCGAATGTATCAGGTAGAGGACCTTGTGTGCCAATAAAAGCACGCGATTTCTGATAACCATCAATGAAGTTGGCATTAATGTAATCTAGGTTTTTCTTTTGACCGGGTATGGGATGCAAATGTACGCGACTGTGATCGTCTAAAAGACCCAATACAAATATTACAAATAAAATAAGAACAATTTTTTTAGATTATAATTGAACATACATGCAGTGATGTTGAGATAACGATTTTTGCGTTTATTTTCAGGATGCTGTGAGTGTTCACATGGGAGATCATCAGTTACACATTCGTTTTGTATGGCCTCATATTCACGACTGAATCCAATGTCACCATCGGCATGTAATGAAGCTACGTGCTTGGCAAATTCATTCACTGGAACTGCAGATCGCATTTCACCACCAACTTCAACAGGTACCTCCCAATCAACTTGTGGTACATTGGGATGATGTGGTGGGTCGTCTAAATAGTAGTAGGCGGCATGGAAACATTTTCTGCTGAAAGAAAGAAAAATTAAAAATAAAAATTAAAATCATTAAGAATATATATAGATTTAAATTTCATATTTTATTGCTTTTATTCTCTGGAAATAATTCTGGGACATTCTAGTCCTTAGACTTAATATCTTAAACTTTGCAAAACTATTTACGGCTTGATTGTCTTGATTGTCAAAGGAATTATTTTAGAAATCTTGTTTTTTAGTCTAAAAATTAATGCCATTGAAATCTATATAGATAAGTTAATAGAAACTTTTTTTGATTCCACACTACCATTTATTTTGAGGAGAAGACTTATTGTTTTCTGGACAACCGGATATATTGACAAATGCAATACTTGTCTGGTCATTTGAATGTAGATATTTTTTAGTGAGCTGTGTAACTATATGCCTAAATTTTTAAAATAAGCTGGTGAAAGTGGCATAGTAGGAGTTTTGCCTCAGATACTAGAGAAGATGGTCTATAGAAGTTAATTTGAGATATACCGAATTAATCTCAGATGGTTCTTGAGTTCAGTGTCACACGAAGTTATTATAGAAATTCCATATTGTTTCGGTGGATAAAAACTAAATTACAAGATTGGGAGTATAAATGCCATGATACGATTTAATCAGTTCCTGTGTACCAGTCTCTATGCAAAGTTGGCAGAAAGGCTGATAAGAAGATTTTATCGAGGAAGCACCAAATCCAGCTATCTCATCAGATATAGTCATTTCCCGCTACAGCCATATGACTACACGTCTAAGCTTTAATTATGTCGATTTAATTTATTTGAGATGTAGGACAGCCTAAATAACCAGCCTGTGAGGATATAGACATCTTCTTTGTTGAGGTCAATATCCGTAGAAAAGGCTTTTGAGTTGTCAAGTATTTCTGGATGATGTACTAAGGTGTAGTTATTAAGTTAGTTAGAATTTCTGTATACCCAATGTGACGTAAGAAATATTTCAAATCAGATTTGCATATCCGACAAATAATTTTATTTCAGATATAAAAAAATGTAATATTAGCTACAAGTGAATGAACTTCTCCCAGTATTACACTTTTTGGTTTTATTTATGTACTAAATATAAAGTAGAAATGTTGTAAAAGCCAATTAAATAATTTTCGATATACCTAAATTATTAAATTTTATATTTCAATAAAAACTCCAGATGTTTTCAAAGCACATGCAATTTTTCAAAAAATAAATTTCAAACCAAACACATTTCGTTGTGAGATAAATATACTTATAAAAATAAAAAATACTTTATAATTTCAAAAATTCATTTCACGTTTGTTTCCACGCAAAAGTATTTAGTATAAACAATTGGTTACATAAAGTTCATTATCTACTTCATTTAGAAGATAAAGTATCTATTGGTGATCGATTGTGCGCATATGATGTCAAAGCGATTAAAAAACAGTATTTCGTTAATGAAATTTTGAAACACAAACCTGAAATACTTAATTAAAATATGCAGGTTAATTTATAATTAATTATTTTATGGAATAATTCAACTAATTTGTTATGAGGAATGTTTATGGATTATGTAAAGAACTTGGAACTTAAGGAAAATTTCTAGCTGGAGCTGGAAAATGTATTGAAGAAAAAGTGTTGTTTCATCATATATTTAAATATATTTATATATACAAATATATACAAAATCTAATACATAAATATAAATTTGTATATAAATAGATTGCATATATATATTTTAAAGATATACATAGTTCTATAGTTTTTGTATCCAATCAAAATTATTGAAAGTTTGTGCTGCTTTGGCTACTTGTGGAAAGACACGATTAGTCATTGCCTCTAATTTTACCGGCACGAGTTCTAAGCCTGGCGCTCGCAGTCCAAACAAATTACATGCGGACTATAAACTAATTAAGAAATTCGAATATACTCGGTAATACTCGAAATAACGTTGTATGGTCAGCTTAATTTCAAAAAAAAAAAAATTGAATAAAATTTTTATCCTTGTCTTTTCTTTGCTATTCGAATCCGTCTAACTTTTAAATAGTTTGTTTTTGTCATAAAATCGCGTCACTCTCGGCAAGAAAAAATTAACATTCATAATTATAGCTATAGTTTCAATGAGGAATCCTTAAAGATAATATTAAATATAACTCAGTTCGTGGCTTCAAATATATAAAATATGAATGCGTAATTGCTTTTGGATTTAATAAAATTGATTGCAAATGGGTGTAGTTCCCACCCCTTTTGAACTTTTTACACTACAACGTCACACAGGTAGTCACATTGTGTCCTTTTGCAAAACTGAATTTCTTTTTATTTTGTAAAGAACTTCACGATCCTTTTTAATTCGTTTCTACTTTTCAATTATCTATAGTCTAAGCTGGACTATGATTTTTCATTTCAAAGTATTTTTACTTAAATCTTTATTCCATTACGAACGCAAATCCGATTCTTACTGATGTGTAACGGCGTTCGACTATTGGTGACTGTCTAGATTCCATGTTCCCATCCACTTCTTCACAAATTATCTTCTGGTATAGTTATTACCCTCTCACATTGCATTTTAAATTCCAGTTTTTATCTTAATTCCCCATCATTAACATTTCACTAGTACAACAGTTCATGAGTGCTTTCTGCTTGCTGGAATTTTCGCCACTGATGGGTTCTCAAGAACTCCATGATGGCTCTGTTTCAAATTTTATTAAAATTCTCATAATTATATTTAAAAGTATATTTTCTTTTATGGACCTTTACTTTTTTATTATATGCTATTTTGTGTCTACAGATCAAGTACTCCATTTGTGTTGTAATTTCTTTTTAATGAAATTATAAGTAAAAATTCACTTCAGAATGCAAAGCAAATATTTAGCAAAGGAAAGTGTTTTCATTTTGTACTCTGAGGCTTAACCAAGCAAATAATTTCATTTTATTTTTATTTTTTTATTTAATTAACTTTAAATTGTTTTTTTTTCGAGACTCTACGAAAGCAAAGTTATAATCTTCACAAAAGTGAAGAGTAGCAGCAGAGAGCTTTAAGAAAAAAAAAAACACAAAACTTAAGAATATAAATATATGTACATATAATAAAATTTTAGAATATAAACATTTCTTTTTGAGATACTTCATTCATTCAGCATAGAAACTAACACTTTTGCTTGTACTTGGAAATGTCTTGAGGCAAACAACACGTAAATGGTCAGAAGTTGTAGTTTCATCAACTCAAACTGCAAGCGTATCCATCTATGCCAGCGATGTGGGGTTGGTATGTGGGAGCCAGAACGTTAAATAGAATTAAATTCTCTAAGAAGCTTTTATGGCATAAAAGTAAGAGTGTAAGTGAAAATAATTTTATTTATAAACATTTGCACTGCGTTCAGTAGAAAATTGTTTATTCTTGTTTCTAAGTTTTATATAACATCAAATTGCATCCAACTAGAAGCATTCAGAGCATGGGAGACGAATCGAATGGTTGACTTAAAATAGGAAAATTTATTTGAAAGCATAAAAGAAGTGTGAAGTATCTGAGATATTGTTGAAGAAGATTTGTATCTCGTTAAATGTGAACGCATAGTTCTCCTCATGTTAAATGTGGAGGCTGCAACAGCTGTTGATGTTGTCTTACTTTGGAACAAGTGTGAACTGAAAAGTTTTGAAAGTTCTTTTCACAGAAACATATAACCACGGGTGTACAAAAAATGCATAGTGAAAGAGTGAAGTCAGGCGGTAACAATGCTTTCAGGAAATTGAGGTTAATTTTATAATTGGCTTAGTGATTATGGGTCGAGAATAAAAAATCACTACATATTAAAGTAAAAGTGTTTCCAAACATATTTCATCATAAATTTCAATAAAAAAAAAACTATTTTGAGAGGCTACAGTTTTAGAAAAAAATATTATATAGCATAAAAGTATTTATAAAAAAATGAAGTGTTTTGCAGATATTTTTTATTCGCTGTATAAGAAACTTTTCATTTAACATTACTTAGTTGTTTTATATATCATAAACTACACTATGTCAGTATTGAAAAATAAATATAATATGTCGGTATATAATTTATAATCTGTATATCAAAAAATACATAAAGGATAGAGCCCTGAAATTAGTTTCGAAAACTGACAGACTTACCAACACCGCGTTATCAAATCTCAGAATGGTTACAGACTCCTCGGGGAGGTACGCAGAGCTGAGGTCAATTATTGCTTAGTCTGATGAAGTGATAAACAATAATCCAGTTAAGGTGTAAAGAGGGGTTTTGAAAATACCTCAAGTTAAGAAAGAGTAAAAGTGCTCAAGTACACTGGCTCACATAGCTTCAACATAATTATTACATCAGGAAAAACATAATTTAATTTAAAATTGAAAATATAACATAAAATTATTTTATTAATTATTCTATATACTTTAAACCTGATAGGGGCAGATGCCTAATGATATGAAGGCACTCGGCACGACTAACTAGCAACTGCCATTGATCGAGTTGGCTAAAGGAAGATGCTATATGTAGCCAAGGCCAATTAAGCAAGTAGTACATATGTTACAAGATGATGAAGAACATTTCCAGCTGCTTATTTTTATACAGTGAAGAGTAAAAATAATGAATCTTTTATAGCTTTAACATACTAAGTAGTATTGCTTACCAGTACTATTATTTGACGGGCTTAAACATTAGCTGTTTGGGACATTTCTACCATTAATTGACTATTGGATGTTAATAGTAGTAAGTTCTAGTTGATAATAACAG